TGTCTGTCTGTCTGTCTGTCTGTCTGTCTGTCTGTCTGTCTGTCTGTCTGTCTGTCTGTCTGCCTGTCTGTCTGTCTGTCTGTCTGTCTATCGTCTGGCTGTCTGTCTGTCTGTCTGTCTATTATTTCTCTCCCTCTCTGAAGCTCAGAACTAAGCTGAGAACTCAGATTTTCTAAATGGCCTCTTTCAAATGTTAGGTACTTGCTAATCTCATAGTTGTCAGTGGTGGACAAGAAAGCAAGGTTTCTGAAGGTGATGCTAAATATGTAAGATATTTGAGAGCAAACTGTATTGATGGGGTGAGGAGTGTGGAGCTGAGCTGGATAACTTTTTCTTCTGCATTGCCAATGTTAAACATTCACAGCATTTATGTATTTTGTTGTTGTTTTTGTTTTTAAGCCCAAGCTGGAGAAGGAAACAAACCTAATTCAGCCCAGCTGGAACTGAGAATGGTCCAAAGCAAAAAGGACATAGAAAACCCAGAGATAATAATAACAGCTACTGAGTTATAAAAGTTGTATTTCTCCTGACAACGCACAATGTATTGATGTCCTCATTTTCTTTCCTGTAAATTGTAATGTTTGCCTTAGATCTGTGACAGAAACCTGACTTCCATGAAATAGTGCCCAGCATAAATGAGATCCACTACCAAGCACATGTGCTGGCCTTGCTTGACTTAAGAAGAAAAAAGTTAGGTGTGTATTTCAGCTCCCTCCCAGGTATGAAAATGGCTGTCAGATTAATTTCAGTCTTGTTGCAAATCCTGGGCTTGGGAGCACAAGGTTTCCTGCCTTGCCAAAGACTTTCAGAATGCATTTGTTAGTGTAATGATTGTCTGGAGTACATATAAACTGTGGTTAAAGCATCTTGTGCCAATTGAGTAGGTTACCTTTTCCCTTAAATGGAGAGGCTTGGTAGCCTGCTGCAATATTCAGTACCTCAACCACTCTGGAATGAAAAGCAGAGGGCAATACAAAGTTTAGGGTAGGGGTCTGATGTTAGCCTTTAGGTACCCTGTGCATGCCACTGAGAACTGCTCCCATTTCTGGTCTGTGAATAAATGCAAGACTCCACCATCCAGAGGTGCTAATCCTTTAATATCAATCAACCAAATTTATCTCATGTCATTTTTCCACCCCTTCTCCCCATAAAGAAATGCAGTTGAGATAAAAGGATGGTTCTACCTCTGGCAAAAGATGCTTGACTGAGTTTTATCAGAAAGCAGGTTTGTTGAATAAGCATTTATTGTGAAATCTGAATAGACCAGTTCATTGCCTTAATGGCTAGAAGAGGAGTAAGAAGTCTGTGTTACCTTTTGAGACCAGTTCACTGTTTGCGATGGCTGGTTAGTGTGCTGTTGTTTTATGGAATGAATGAAAAAAAAAATCCATAGGGCCAGGCAGAATCATAACTTACACAAAGTACAAACCTTTTCATACACTGCTGTTGCACACTCTCCATACTTTTTAATTATCCTTGTGCAGGAATCTCATGCAAGCCTGGTGGAAATGAACAAGTATTTGCATTCATATTATATCCCTTGATATGAACATATTAATGTTACACCCTATTTTCATAAATTTTACATATAAATTTTATATATTAAAATCTTACTTTCTTAAATAAATGCTAGTTCGTGCACTCGAATGAAACTTAGACATCTGTCGAATACACTGGAAATCAGCACAAACTCCTGGATGATGTTATATGCAATAATGTATTTAAAGTTATTAAGTAACTTTAGTATTTCTTATTGATAATATTCATCCCAGAACTATGCAGATTTGGTTAATTTAGAAATGTACCCCTATTATCCTTGTAACCTTCCCCTTCTGATTGTGTATCTTTTTTTTATATTATTTAAATTTTATTTTTCCCATAGGTCCTATGGAAAAGCTTTCTTTTCTTGAGCTAAAACAGGGTAACAAAACAATCCATGATCCATAGCACTTTGTAAAATAAATGTGCTAGTGGTGCTTCCTCATTCATTATAAACAACCAGGGTACTTTTAATTAGAATATCTCTTTCTTAACCCCTCTCTGAAAAAGTGCTCCCGTTAAGAATTGTGACTTTGGAACTCACTCTTCCCTGTTGAGGACTCCAGCTTTCAATCATTTAAAACACCCCATTTCTATTCCACAGGGTTATGTTTGCAACCTTGATGGCAAACTTTTCCTAGTGTGATTTTCTGTTTCAAATGTGTTTATCACTCTTGCTCCCTATCAGTGATCGGGCAACGTAGAAAGTTTTGCCCTCGCAAAAGGTATCTCCCAATAGCTTTGGATAGCAACATGGAAATACGTTTACTGCCCAACTCCTTTGTCCTGCATACATCTAATAGACTTGTCTGTCCCTTTTGCCTTGTCTCCAGGGTAAATTAAAGTGCAATCTAAAATAGTGTATAGGTTACATTGGTAAATTATCCCCTCCAAGTTCCAGCCACAGCCTCCCAATCAAGATTCATAGCCTCGGAAGTGTCTGAACTTGCCTCAGATATATTCTGAATCATTGCATCCCTTGAGTGCCTTCCTGAAATCTTTCTCGGAGCCATCTCGGCCCATTTTTGAAGCTGTAGCTATCTTAGTATAAGCTTTGAAAATGGTACATTTTATTCACCCACTAAATTGGGCATGGTATTGTACAGATGTAAGATGAGAGGGAGAGTGACTGGCTTATCCCACCTTAGCCCTCCTTTTTTTCATTTTCAGAGTTTGCAGTTAGACTGAGAACTTAGTTCCAGATATTTTCCTCTGCCATTTTTAGGCAATCAGATTATTAACAAATCTTATAAGAACACATTCTGTTTAAATAGAAAATGAGAAACATTTGAAAGTCTTTTTTCCATTTAGGGAATTGGATCATGCTGCTGTACTCTTCAGTATAAAATGTGACTTCCCATTTACAAATGGAAGATTATAATTAATGATTGAATTTTGCTTCTATTACCTGTGGTCAACCTGCTGTGAAATAATCTTTTAGTAATTAGAAACTCCACTAGTATGATAGTCTCCCAATTGCATGAGATTCCTGCCCTTTTCATGCTGACATATACAAACTTTCTTATTGCCCATGGCAGAAGGAATTTTAACCCAGTAATTATTTTTTATTTTCATACAACCATGTAAACAGGCCTATATTAATAAACTACATTCAACCCAATGTTTACACTGGAGGAATGTAGTTGTTAGTAAATTATTTGAGCAGATAGACATGACATTTAGAGCACAAATATTTGCTGTTGACCCAATGTGATCATTTAATGGCAGCTCTGTACACAAAAAGGGTTAAATTTTCATTATACGTACTTGCAACATTCTATATTAGTATCTCTGGCAGTTCAAGGAAACATAGGCATGATCAGTCCTGGAATTCTTTGCAACTGCTTCTGTAGTATTAGAGTATTCAGGCAGTTCCTATCTTATACAAGAAAACTCTCTTCAAAACCACTGTTGTGATATGCATACACATAGTTTCTCAGGATGTGGTTAAACAAGCTTATATAAAATAGTTTCTTTCTCTGTCCCATTTCAGTAAAATATAGTATGTTCAATAAAACTGAATACATGGGGTTTATTTTCCATAAATATGTGCAAATATTAGTTTCATACTGATTCTCAGTGTGGTGTCATGGATAGAGTGACTCTGGAGAACGGGTTTGGATCCCTGCTCAGCCATGGAAATTCACTGGGGAAGTGGAACTGGTAAAACCACTCCTTAAATGTCTCACTTACCTTAAAAGCCCTGCTAGGGTCGCTATAAAGTCAAATCCAGTTTGCCAACATAGAAAACACGCACACACACACACATAGTTTCAATAGAGATCATTTTTCTAAAAAAAAAAAAATTGAAATACCCTTTTAATTAACAAGGAATTGAGGGATAGAAAATCTTCTTAAATGCTTTCCCCCACAGAAAGTCAGTGTGGCTATAACTTTAACAAGTAGTCTAGCTAATCTGGAGAACAGCAGAAGTTGTCCCCGTGGCTTGGTTGTGAGCCACCCATCTGCGTAAAAACCTAGCCTAAATGTGCTATATCAGTTCTCTTAAATCCAAACAAGGGCTGTAATTCCTTTTTTTTGTTGTTGTTGTTGTTATTTGGCATGGAACACTTTAAAGGATGTTCTTACTTTCTCTATAGTTTAGCATATTTGTTTAAAGGAGTGAGCATTTCAGAGGGGTCCTGTCCCATTCTCAGATCTGTCCATGGGCAACTTTATCCTTCAAAAAGAGCTACAGAGTGTGAGCACATCAGGAGTGGTAGTCTTGCTGCATAAGCATTCCCTGTTAGCATAGTTCCTGCAGTTCTAAGCTCCTGTCCTCTGCACCAGTATATAAATAAATATCTCTGTATGGGATTGGAAGAGAAGAGGAAAAACTGGGAGTTAGAGCAGACCTCTCTGACCATGTGGAGGGGAGGGAGTCAAAGAGCACCAAGATGAATTAGACAGTGGGTGGATGTAAAGCTCATTCTCTTCACTATCAGCCTCATTAGCTGCTTTTCAAAAGGATGTGGAATATGTCCTTCTACCAATCCCATTGTATAGGCTAGAGCAGAGAACCAGGCTGAAAATAAACCCAAATTACTTTGTCTCAGTGGTAGCAGAAGCATAAACATCTTGCAGAACTCACTAGGTTAAGCAAATACTGCAATTTTTACAGTTGTCTTATCATAATGGAAAGCCAGCGTTGTCATTTATTGTAGCTCATTTGTGTTTAATTCCACTTTTTGTAAAGATCTTTTCAGTGTACCAGTGCAGCTGTTTTTATTATTGTGCTTTCAATTCTTGTGGAATATAAGGAGTTAACTATGTGTTATATGCAAACAGGTAGCAGAGCTCTGATGTCATACATTTAAAAAAGAGTTTTAAGTGGGAATGATTTTGAGCTTATAAGTGGAGGGCAGGAGAAAAAGTTAAGCACTCTCTCCAGTACTTCACTCAAAATCACCCCTTTCCAAAGCTATTTGTCTTCTTTAAATTGTGCAACATTGAAGATCTGTACAGTATTTGCACATAACTATTAGTTAGCCTCTCAGCAGGACCAAAACTCATGTAAACTGAAGCAGCTTCTGAACTTAAATTCAGCTTTTATGTACCTATAATTCTTTCTGATATCCTTGCACATTATGACCTTTAGAAAAATAAATAGGAATTGTCAATTGTGAAATCTCACTCACTCTTGCTTTTAACATGCTTTTAAAATAAACACAGACTGACTAAATTTTGGATGTTTTATTTAACAAATTGCATTCAAAATGCAAGAAATCTGTAATCAGTGCAATACTTTAAAAAGATTTTAGAGGACCAAGATTTCTAGCTAATGATACTGCCTTGTTTAAAGTAATCTTCTACGTATCTTGATTGGATGGTGTTGACTCATTGTCTGTCTGGTACTGTTGCAGTGATTGTACAAGTCTCTTGATTTACAGTATGTGGCAAGAAAGATTGTAATAAAATCTCTATGTTTAATAACACTCTGCGTAACTATTGTTAGGTTTTATTTTGTTGAGCTATTTCAGAATTAAACAAAACAAGCAAATTTAAATGTTGGATCAGTTGGCTTTTTCTTAAGACTTTGTAATTACTTGAGCACTTGTTGGTTGAAGGGTAGAGCCTATGCATCAAATATCTGAAGGTCATGAAGGAAGTATTCAGTAAATGTTCATGCAAAGGACCAAAACTATTATGCAGTAAATACTTTCACTCCAAAGTCACTTGGTCATCTTCATGATATGATAAGGAGGATTTAAATGCAATCAAAAAGCTAGCCTGTTGTCATCACAAGGGGAATACTTCATTCCACAATGGTGAAATGAGACACACAGCCCTACTCTATGTAGGTCATGGAATGTGAATGTCAGCCTTCTATCCTTCCGAGGTCGGTAAAATGAGTACCCAGCTTGCTGGGGGGGCAATGTGTAGCCTGTATAATTAAATTGTAAACCGCCCGGAGAGTGCTTGTAGCACTATGGGGCGGTATATAAGTCCAAAAAAAATGTGTGTGGAATTATTATTGGTGTTTATGTCAAGATTAATAACTTATACAGGAATGTTAATAAGCTGGTGTGGTGTTGAAGTTTACTGGCAAATCTGAGATAAGACTTCAATGTTTGTGAGATACCTAGGCAAAGCTATTACTTCTTCTTGTACTTGGGGGGAGTAACTAATTTTGCAGTTGGAATACAGTTTGGGGTCTCTGTAAAATCCTTGCCCTGATAGACTACAGCTGGACCTATAATGGATCTAAATTTGTTTCTAGGTGAAATGACTTCTACACTCCTATGTTCAGTAGTAGAATACATGCTGGACATTATAGATTTTCTGGTATAAATAATTTATTCTCTTCTCTTCACACCCATAAATGGAAAACTAACAACTTCCAAGGAGGTCAAAGTGATGGAGATAAAACAAACTGATAGCTATCCTTTTCTTCTCTGTTGTGCTATGCCACGTTCCTCTTGGCCGACATACTAGCTGCTGCTCCATAAGTGAGGGCCTACATATTTTTCTTTTTTTCCAAAGAGAACCTAGTTGTATTCAGAGCTTGAGTAAACTACTTTGTTGGACTACAACTCCCAGAATCCTCTAGCCAGTCCAGCCAGTAATCATGCTAGCCAGAGGGTTCTAGAGCTGTAGTAAAAAAGGGAAAAAAAAGACTTTCCCAAGGTCTTGTTATATTTTGTTCCCTAGCTTATTTTCTCTTCATCACAGAGTTTGTTATAAGACATGCTGACTTTGAATGTTTATAGAACAAAGGTTGTAGTCAAAGAACATTTTGTCTTTTTCTGAAAGAAGCATATTTCTGAGTTAGATGCTGATCTCTCACTAAACAGACTGTGCAGGCAACTGATCAGTGATCTGAGAGCGACAGAATTCCAGACTAGAGAACGGCAGTTCTCCTGTTAAGACTTCTCTATATACGGATGTATTTGTGCCTCAGTACCTTCTCAGATGTTTAAGAAAAGCAAAATCAAGTCCTCTAATTAAAACATTTAAAAAGGTTGAAGATATTGCCTGCGGAAGGATTGGTAAAATACGAAAGAAAGAAGAAACATTAAGTTCAAAGGAAGCTGCCTGGAATGTTGAAAAATCTTCACTTCTTAGCTTCTTCTGATCAGCCCACTCTTTTTGTGCAGTTTTCTGCTCCTAGGCCACATGATACCACCCCAAAATGGCCAGTGTGCATATGCAATAGGTATCTGATGGCCCAAACATGTTGGTCCCAGGCAAGTCCTTTTCTCATCAAGGATGTATCATTAAATTGGAGACTTTTGTTAAAAGCCATATTTTGGGTGCAAAAATTGTTGTTTAAAAAAACATGTAATAAAAGAAGCACACAGACAGTTTTGCTAACCATTTACAGATAGTGCCGTTATGTTAATAAGTAGAAATTATGTATTATTTAAGTGTTACCTTTTCATTGCATTGCTATTTGGAATAATAATTATGTCTACAAGAATGTGGCATGTGTACTCTATGTATTTGTTCTGAAGTTTTAGCTACACAGTTTAATTGGAGGGCCAGTGATGCAGGGAAGTAAAAGCATATATTTTTATAAACAGCCATATGATTTTGGGTCACAGGAGTGTCCCATCAGCCTCTTTCAGGCATGTGAGGCTGGAAGACTGGACAGAAAAAGGTGGCTGTACAAATAAAAAAGATAATTCAGTCAGTCCCAGTGGCCCTATGTGAATTTAATTAATGAATAAAGATGCCTTTGAAATATGTAAATATCAAATGGAGAAATACTTGCGAGCAAACTTTACATGTATTTGACATTTGTGTAGTGCTTTGTAATGAGAAAACAACCTGTTACATGTTTATACCTCTTATTAATTGTTATTCACCTATAGGGACAAAAATAGATAAATGTTTTTTTATGCCAGGGTGAAGGGAAGCCCTCTGTGATGTGTAACTGGGCATAGTGTGAGTGATCACAGTACTCGTAAAATTGTTCTTTGTATAATTTTTGTTTTGGCACATGTGACTTTTATTCATTTTGTAGTAAAGTTTACATGCTAAAATATATGTGAAGATTATAATAAAGTTAATGAACTACGTAAGGAAATGCCAAGAACTAATTCCTGTTGAACCAGGAACTATGGTTTGTGGATTTATTATCTAAAGAAAAATTTATTGAGCTGCCCCACATATTGTATTCTGATAAAGGCGGATATGGTAAGGAATGCAGTGTTACTCTTCTGTGTCCTCTGCATTGCTCCCTGTACTCTGAAGGCTCTTTTAGAAACAGTGAAAATGGTGGAGGCATCTCACTGCTTATGGTTTCTACTCCCCTTCTTGGACTTCTTGTAACTCAGATCAGTGCAGTCATGGAAAAGTAGTATGAAGAAGGAAAAACCCACAATGGTTTCTCTGTCAAGGTATGATGAAAATGAGACAGCAGAGAGTAACAACATAGTAGGGAGTTACATTTTCTTCCTCCTCCTCAAGAGAGTCCATATTCTCCATGGATTCAATTTAGTATTCCTTTATTCTCTTCTGATCAATTACCATTTTAAAAATGTTCATTCTGATTTTTTCTAGAATTCCGCCATACTGAAAAGGTTTTCCTGCACTGAGAAACAAGAGCCATTTATCACTCATCTAAACACTTTACTGTGAGTGCAGAGCCCACATGTGGGAGACATTGCCATCAGGCAGGAGCAGCACCCAAATGAAAGCTTGTTTTTCACTCCTTTGGTTAGGCAGGCAGCTTACTGGACCATTATTGGAAGTGGGAGGCCCACAGCTCTCTCTCTCTCACACACACACACACATACACACACACACTATCCTTAACTAATTGCTTAGAGGAGAGTCTGCCTGGGGGAGGAGGGGCCTCTCTTATGGTCTATATTGTCATTGTAGCACCTCCACGAAGAGCAACAGGTGTATATTCTAAAGCAAGTGAACCACATGCAGATGCTGAACCCACAGCAGATTTGGTCCAATGCCTTTGTAGTTTCAATTTCATGTTATTAAATAAAAATACAAGCTTTTACTTCTGTGCCATTATTGATTATTGCAGTGTCTCTTTACAGTTTTAAAATATAAAGTAGTATTAATTTCCATAACTTGAGTGAACCATCTTGTAAAAAGAGAGAGAAAGTCTCCATAGTTGTTTCCCCCTGGTTAAGGTGCTTCTGCCTGCTAGAAAAAACAGCACATTGAAAAAGTGTGTTCTTATGACCTGGCTTCCAAAGGAAATTATTTCTATATCTGCCCAATTCTGCAGACAGGAAATGAACAGCATTTTTGTTGTACATTGTTCATCATCCTTTATCCTTTGGGAAACGTGATGCATAGTTACTCATCAACTTCGTAATCTGATTTTGCAACATGCTTACCTGTCTATCTAAACTCTAGTATTGTTGAAAAATATGATGTCATTATTTAGGGTTTTGATCCAAACGAGACCTGTGTTTGACTAATTTGAGGCAAGCCATCCATGTAATAATACATCACAAAAGTGTGGCTGATGGCTTACAGTCAAATGTCAACTAGGAATGCCTGATTCATCTTTCTGCAATTTAAGTAGCAAACACCTGGAGAGATAGGAAGAGAATATAAACATTGTTTATCTTTGTTTTTTTTTTACTCTAAGATAAGGTGCAGCCAACACCTTACCTTTGAGACAAAGTGTTGGCTGAATATTTGACTAAGTGCATGAGAAGTAGTCCACAATATTGAGAATGTTGAAGTTTTCACAAAAGAAATTTAGAAAGCCAGTGGTTGTCCCTTGGTTATAAATGTTGGTGTTATCAGTCTCAGTAGTCGATGGTCGTTCTTGCCCTTTCCATTTCTGAATTGTAGGAGAAACTACTTGCACAAGAGACACAAAGATATGCAGATTCCCTTGGCCAAATGATCTACTGTGCGCTTCCTCTACATCTGGTCCCCTTCACATATTTTAGTTTTCAACTCCTCCAGCCAGTTTGACCAATGATCAGGAATGCGGGAAGCTGTACTCTGAAACATTGAGAAGGTACCAGGTTGGGAAATACTGTACTGGTCTATATGAAGCCTACTGAAATTAATGAGCATCTACTGTTCATTTTTGTTTATCTAGCGTAGAGTAAGGTTTCATGGGATCTGCCTAGGATCTGCCAATCATTTTATGTTGTAATGAACATAAAAATCAAAATACATTTTTTTTCTTTTATGGAAATCTTAGCCATTTCTTATTATGATTAAATACAAATGTTTTCATTGTTTAAAATTCAAATGCTGCCTCTTCCATTAAACTATATTTTCTTCCCAAACATATGAGTTGGTCTTTCTTGCTAATGTGACTTTATAAAAGATTCCTTAAATTTGGAACTTGTCCACAACAGGGAACTGCAAGATGGTTCAGTGGTTTAGGTCCCTGGCTATAAGCCAGAGGTTGGGAGTTTGATTCCCTACCTTGCCTCCTTGACAAAGAGCTAGACTTGATGATTCATAGGGTCCCTTCCAGCTCTGCAGTTCTAAGATAAGTGTGAAGAGTGTTGTCATAACTTCAGTTTAGTAAGGACCTGTCCACATTTTGGGTGTGGGGTGGATCAT